TTTTCCCGTCGGATGCATCTCAGGCTTGGAGGGGGATTGAGTTTGGACTCGAGCTACTTAAGAAAGGGCTGATTTGGCGGATTGGAGATGGAAAAAAGATACAAATCACGAGGGACCAGTGGATTCCGAGGAGGGAAGGACTGATGGCTGCATCTTTCATTAGAAGGTCGCGCCTAAGGTGGGTTAGCCAGCTAATTGATCAGGAAACAAAGGAGTGGAAAGTCGATCTGGTAAAACAAATATTTCATGATTTTGATGCAGATGTTATTTGCAATCTGAGAATCCCGAGAGCCGAGGTGGAGGACTGTGTGGCATGGCACTATGAGAAAAACGGGATATTCACGGTTAAGAGTGCATACAAGCTTGCAGACTCGCTGAAAAGGAATACCACGGTTGTGGCAACCAGCTCCTCAAGAGATCCGGGAGATAGAAGCATCTGGGATGTTATTTGGAAAACAAAGATCCCGGATAAGGTAAAGATTTTTGGATGGCGTGTGGCAACCAATTCTTTAGCCACCAAGCATAACGCTTTCAAGAGGACTATTGTTGTGGATGATGTCTGTGAGATATGTGGTGCGGAGCAGGAAGATGAATTTCATGCTATTATAAGATGCACTCGAAGTGCTGCGCTGAGGCATGCAATGAAGGCCTTTTGGGTTCTGCCAAGGGATTCTGAATTTAGGTACACAGGCCCAGACTGGCTGCAGATGCTCCTATATGCCAAACTTGAGGAAGTAAGAGGGAAAATCTTGCTGATCCTGTGGCAAGCGTGGAGTCTGAGGAATAATGTGATCCATGGAGATGGGAGGGATACTGTCTCAGGATCAGTACAGTACCTGCTACGACTCCATGAAGACCTGCTGGCTGCTGCAAACGACCCAATGAAAGAGGCAATTACAGACAAGCTGTCAATGTTCCCTGCCGGCCCTCGCGCACCGACACCATCAGTGCCTACTCGTTGGATTGGCCCTCCGCTAGGTACGACGAAGCTAAATATAGACGCATCTTTCCTGGCAGAGTCAGGTGATGCATGGGGAGGTGCTGTAGCAAGAGATCACACAGGGCGTGTCCTAATGTCTGTTGGCCAACGCCTGATCCAATGCAACTCTGCTGAGGAAGCGGAAGGTGCAGCTACATCTATGGGACTCAAGGAACTTGCAGGATTGTTTAACGGACAGGTGATTCTGGAGACTGATTGTGCAGGCATTGGGCGTGAGCTTCAGGTAGAGCGTGAGTGCAGGTCTGCCTGCCGTGCTGCCCTGTTGGACGCGCGGAACCAATACTGCGCCTTCTCCAACTTGGAAATCAGCATTGTCAGTCGAACGAGAAACAAGCTGGCGCACGAAATAGCTGCTGTTGCCAGGAGATTGGGCGATTTCAGAATGATTGCTGATGTCCCCGAGGACGCAAAACATGTAATGGTAGATGAGTATGTACCATCCATGGCGTGATGTACTCCATGGTTCTCAAAAAAAAAAAGAACAGTGGAGGCAAGGCATGTTCATGTGGCCGGCTCTGCCAGGGAACGAACACCATGCTCGATGAGTTCAAAGCGGATGAGATTGACCTGGAGTTGCACTATTCTGTCCGGCCAGTAGCTGGTACTAAATTTTTTCTCTCCCTAGATCCAGTCCTTCCACATTCCCTTCCTTCCTATTTCTTGTTGTAGGACAATGCACTTCAAGTGTTCGTGAAAATATTATTGCCAAGGCTTCAACTATAAGAAAAAGATTTTTCTGTACGAACATACACCATTAATCAAGACTTAACTGCTAATCAATTTTAAAACATTAATCTAAGCTTCTTCATGGGAAATAACTAATGACTGTTATGCATGATCATATTTCTTTGCGGATTATTAATTTATTGTTGCCATGGCTTCAATTTCAAGACAAGATAGAACCAGTAGTGCTTGTTCTACGTATATACGCATGTTGATCATTTGGTGTAGGTGTTGTTACCTAATAGTTCTTTCTTTCATGATATTAATTACCATATTGTTTTCTTGAAGGTGTCATATATTTGCTTTTTTGGTTGAGATTCGTTTTCTCTCTATTATTTATAATTAAGGTACAGTCTGTAAGAGTTTGCACAATACAAGATTTATTTTCTTTTTTTAATGTGGTACCGGTGCAACCTTCGTGAGGATTGATTTGTTGGTACGGCAAAATCAAAGTCCCCAAATTAGAAGCGATTGGTGAGGAAGATGTTTATGTGCAGCCTCAACCTTTGTTCTCTTCTCAGCTGTATGGACGACAATGTCTAACACTCTTACTTGATGGTGTCATGTGGGGAGATGAGAGCAAAAAAAGAGATGGCGGGAATCACCAGATTAGAAGTCAACTGCCATCTCCCCTCTTTCCCCACACCCATATCCCCGTCATTGTTCCCATACCCGGCGCTAAAAGGGTAGCTGGAGGAGGACGTGTGGTCCTAAAGAAGGAGGATCTTTGTGAAACACACCTGGTTTCGTCGGACACGGACGCTGCTCCGCGGCCCAGTACCTCAACCAGACCAACGATGATTCACGATAACTCATGATTTCTCCACAAACCACGACAACATACAGTAAGTGTACATTTCTGAATTTTTTACTTCATAATGTACAGTAAGTGTGTAATGTTTTTAGGTTGTTATTCTAAAAGGTTGTGACGTCAGCTGACGCCACAACCAAGATGTAGAAACACCACTGACGGCAAGGAGGGCTGGTGCCTGCACCAAGTTTATATGTGACAGAGCTGGTCCCCACCATCCCTACAAGTCCATGAAATTACAAGTCGTTGTAGGAAGGGACTCGCAAAAGCGACATGCTATAGTGTGATGATCCTGAAAATTGATCATGTTCATCATGAATAGGCAACGGGATAACCACCAGCAATCACTTATGGTTAATTAAGTATATTATGTATATTATGTATATCTCATATTTTTCCTAAAGGGTTTTTGGAGGAGCTTTTTCAAGATGATGATTCTACATAATCAATGCAGAGATTAGGGGGAGTGTTAGGGAATAATTAATTATGGTTAATTAAGGATAATCTCCTTATCTTTGTAAACCGGCGGGCAGTTAAAGTCTGCCACCGTCGCGTCTCTTGTCCCGTCTCCTCTGACCGACGCGTCCCTTGGATGCAACCCCTCGGAGGGTATATATTGTACAATCATCATCGATAGAAAGAGCGATTGATTCATTCTAGCAATTGTTTCTTCAGACCATGTACGTGTGATGGGTAACCACCAGCAATCACGACGAGACAGGAACGCCGCGTCTTAATTTGCCGTATGTGGCCACCCGGCCCAGGAAAAAGTTCATTTTAAACTGTTAACTTGTAGGAGTTCGGCAAAACGAATCCTCGTCGAATCCGATCGATTGCATCATAAACTATGCAATCCTGGTTTAAATTAAACTTTCGGATCGTTTGGATGGCCAGGATTGGGGCATGGCGCACACCTGCTCCATGCTTGGCCGGCCCGCTTTAGTTATTTTCCGTTAATAAACAAAAATTCGCAAGGGGCGCTACACCCTTCTCCCTGCTGGCCCGGCCCGCTTTATTTTCTTGGTTTAAATACAAAAAGTAAGCGCACGGTGTGGCTCCACCGCGAGACCTCGTTAGCTGTTTGATCGACGCAACAACCACCAGGGATACGACATCCATTGTGTTCACTTGCTCCTTTTTTCTCCTTGTCTTCTTTCCTTTTTCTGTCCTTTTCTTTCTTTTTATTTTCTTTTCCTTTTTTATTAAATTCCTTTTTTTAATATTTACGAACTATTTTCCAAATTTGCATATTGTTTTCAAATCTGGAATTTTTTTAGCGTGTTTGATTGCTTGAATTATTTTAAACTATATAAAAACCGGTGGCCATCTTAGTAGGAAATGGCAAACGGCTGTAGACTATACCAATCTATGCTGCATCAACGGCTAGAACAATTCGGGTTATGTGGCTTCATGAGAAGATAGGAAAATCACCTAGTGGGGTGTCCCTATTTAGATATAGAAGATAGGCCGCCTTGCATGATTCAAAAGGTATTGCAGGCCAAGATAAATAATAATGGCCCTCATGGCCTTTGAGAAGAACTTGGTGAATGTTATTAAAGTAGAAAATTAATTTCTGCTAAAATAAGATACTCCCCACCGTTTCTAAATATAAGTCTTTTACAATATGAACTACATACGGAGTAAAATGAATGAATATACACTATAAAATGTGTCTATATACATCTGTATGTAGCGGAAATCCCTTTTGGAGCTCGGCCTCAAGTGAGGCCTCCAAATTCAAATTTGAAATTACATCAAAATTCATATTTTTACATTTCAAAAAATTCTGAAAAAATACAGATATAAATGAAGGCATAACACACATGTGTGTAAATTTTCAGTTCAAAATACGTTGAAATGAGGGTTGTGTAAAACAGACAAATCTAGGGCTGTTTAACACATGATACTATTTATCCTCGCAGGCCATGAATTTGTCTTTTTTGTACAGCTCGCAACTCAAGGTATTTCATCATGAATTTTTTCACGCATGTGAGTTACATCCTTACATACACGCATATTTTTTTAGAATTTTTTGAACCATAAAAGTCTGAATTTGAATTTTTCAAATATAAAGGCCTCCATGGAGCTTGGCCTCCAAAACGCCTTTCTGTGTATGTAGTCTATATTTAAATCTTTAAAAAGACTTATATTTAGGAATGGAGAGAGTACATATTTAATTGCACCTCAATGAATGTAAAGATTTGTTTTTTGGAGGGAAGTAAAATTTTATTTTGTTACGACGATTTGAAAAATTAATGAGCATATATATCTTATATTTATCTAATTTATATGACAATATTTTTAGTAGGAGTGTATTTCCTATTAAAGTTGGTGAGTACTGAATACACATTTATTGTATACCAAATATTTATAGATTTATCTCTATATATAGCCTGCATCTTTCGATGCTTTCACACAAATATATCAGCACAGCTTTAGTTGTCAGCCTGAGCTAGAGCACCAACAATGGCAAAGCACACTACCCTCCTCCTTGTGGCAATAGTAGCCATCCTTCTCACTGCCACCGCCGCCACCCTAGCCAACACCCCCGCCCCTGCAGCCAAGCCTACAGCGTATGAAATGCTAGGGCGATATGGCTTCCCACCGGGCATCCTCCCGCAGGGAGTGCATGACTACGAGCTCCGACCAGACGGTTCCTTTGAGGTACACTTCTTCGATGAATGCAAACTTTGTATTGACGGCCAGTACGACATCCACTACAGCACTCGGGTTGCCGGGAACATAAAAAATGACATGATCAGCGGCCTTGAAGGCATACAGGATGTCGGCCGCGATGGCAATGAGCTTAGGCTGCACACCGGGATCATATCCAAGTCATTCTCGGTTGACGTTTTCTCCTCTAGCCCTAAGTGTAACTGAATCTCGATTGCAAGATCGACACAAGTGTCGCCACCCGAGTACGCCTCTTCCACCACGTCGCTTGACATTTCCTTCTTTCTTCGCGGCATTGATGGTGCACGTTGCTGCTTGATTTGCAATCCCGTGCCATCTTACTAATTTTTGTACTCCCATTGTTTTATGGGCTGAGACCGAATGATATAAAGAAGTTCCTTTTGTTCGTGATTGCAAAATTCATTTGTGAGATTTCAATTAACGTGGTGTTTGACGGTGAATCCATTATCTGATCAGATAAAGCATAATGGTATTTTGGCCCAAAAATAAATTTTCACTTAATTAGCTCTGTACATCATCTTAGATACATCTGAATTTTTGTGGATCTTGACGATAGCTTACCACATTTCCCATGTGGTATCTTTTTTTTGCAAGGAAACGTTCGATCTATTAATCATGTCATATCAGCATTGGAGCGAGCCGAAGGTACGCCGCAGTCATCGCCCCTCCAGTTTGGCCAAACTTGTTGTATTAGATAGTCAAGAAGACATCGGGCTAAGGCCCCACATGTTCAGCGCACCAGAAGAGCAAACATCTACGATGAAGAGAACTATAGATTGAAAGGATCCAACATGAAGACACATAAACGAAGATGAACAAAGGCTGGATCTAAACATATCCACCAAACAATAGCACCAACTGAATCTCGTGAGATTTGCCGGAGACACATCTCCACACACCCTATTACAGTGTGGTAATATGTTGGTGCTAGTGTTTTTCATAAGAATATATATTGGCGGAGCTTGGGGATTAATTTTTTCTATAAAAAATGGTGTGGTAATGGCCTTTTTTTCTTAGCATCAGTACAGACACAAGCGCTCATATACACGCGCATACACTCATCCCTATGAACCCAAACACGCACACCCTACCCCTATGAGCACCTCCGTGAGACTAAGCCGGCATATCATCTTGAGATTTACGAAGTCACCGTAGGCGTCTCGTCGTCGACGGAAACGTCTCCTCCCACTGAAAGCGCATCGCCGGAAATCCTGAAATAAATTCAGGAATAATGCGAGCACCAGGATTTGAACCCTGGTGGGTTGGGGATACCACTCTCCACCTAACCAACTCAACCATAGGTTCATTCGCCTGATTCAATTTCATTCGTAAATATGTTGGCCAATTGGCAAGCGGTACATTTGTCCTCATGGGCTGGTGGGACAGCCAAGATTGTTCTAGAATGTCCGCCACAGCTTGCATGCCTCAAAGAAATGAGCTGATTAAATTTAACCCCTCTTAAACAATTACATGCAATTGAGAGCCGTGTGAAGCGGGGTAAATCTTATTCCGCTCGTAAGGCTGGTTGAGTCAACCTAAACACGCATTTCCCGTGATTACACTAGTAGAAAAAAGACCTAATATGAGACACATTAGTCCCGGTTTGATTTTGATCCGGTACTAATGGTATCATTAATGTCGGTTCGAACGGCTATGTATTAATACCAGTTCGTGTTGAACCTTTAGTACCGGTTCATGCCACGAACCGGTACTAAAGGGGTGGTGGTAGGGGTACTAAAGGGGTGGTGGCAGGTTGGCGTCAGGCCGAGGCGCCACGATCACCTTTAGTACTTGTTTGTGGCACAAACCGGTACTAAAGGGCTATCCTTTAGTACCGGTTCGTGCCACGAACCGGGTCTAAAGGAGTCTGACCTATAGCCCCGGTTGGAGACACAAACCGGGACTATATGGCAATTTTCAAACTCTAACCCCCCTCCCCCTGTATCGCCATTCCAGTTTTGAAAAAATCAAAAGGAAATGATAAAAACTTCAAAAAATAAAATCCTTCGAGAGGTAGTTATATTACTAAATCTACTAGTTAGAAAAATTTGAAAACATAAATTTTGACATGTTTTGCAGAAAGTGTAGGGAAAATGTAAAAACGGCTATAACTTTTGCATACGGTGTCGGAAAAAACTTATAATATATCAAAAAATTCAGCATGAAAATCCGCATTCGATTTTGACTGCCTACGGTCTGTTTGCAATTTTTTAGAATTCTCAAATTCCAAAAGGAAAAAAAAGATATGCTCAAATTTTAGTGTTTTTTAATTTTGGTTAAATATGGTCAAACTAATTATTCAAGATGTATTAATGTTACTACATAATTGGTCAAGAATATTAGTGTTACTAAATAATTATTTCAATTTTTTAAATTTTGGTCAAATCTGGTCAAACTATGGTCAAACTGTGGTCAAATTATGGTCAAACTTATTCAAGAAATATTAGTGTTACTAAATAATTACTGTTTTTTAGAATGATAGTTTCAAACTCAAATGGTGAAACGTGTGACCTAATGCTCAAGCTAAACTGCTGAGGGTTAATAGGATTGACAACTTACATTTGTCAAGAAAACAACAAGTGCAGAGTTGGAAAATAGGTGGAATAGAACTCTGAAGTTAAGCGTGCTCAGACTGGGGAAGTGAGAGGATGGGTGATTGGTCGGGAAGTAGGACGATTTGGAATGAGTGATCCACGCTTTGAGCTCTTAAGAGGGGTGATTGGAGACTAAATCATCAAATAATTCAGAAAATCAAAAACTGAAAAAAATCATTTTTTTCAAAATTTTCAAAAAAAAAACCTTTATTACCGGTTGGTAACACCAACCGGTACTAAAGGCCCCTCAGACCATGACGCGAGCTCACGTCACGTGGTGGGCCTTTAGTAGCAGTTCGTGCCGAACCGGTACTAGAGGGGGGGAGGGCTTTACAAACCGGTTTTAAAGCTCCGTTTTCTACAAGTGTTATATGGGCCGGCCCACTCGAGACACTGTGTTCTTTCCTGCTTCTTAAGTTACTAATGTCCTGGTTTATTTTGGATGTTCTGTTCTTCTTCTTTGTTTTTCTCTGCCAGTTTTCTTTTGAAATTTTATTTTATTTTTATTTCATTTTTTCTTATCAACTTTCCTTTTTATATTTTTGATTCAAACACATTTTAAATTTTTGATTCAAACACATTTTATTTTATTGATTTCTTACATTCAACTTTCCTTTTTATTTATTTCATTTTTTCTTATCAACTTTCCTTTATTTTTAAAAATGTAAACACCTTTTGGAATTTAAAATCCTTGAACATTTTAAATTTCCGAAATATTTCAAAATTACTAAAAAAATTCTGTGTATTGTTTTAAAACTGAGGAACATATTATAAAATATCGTCACCAGTTGTAAAAAATTAACGCAGTTGCAGGAAGAAAAATATAACAGAAAAGACATTCAGCCCATCGCTAGGATAGAACAAAACTGACCAAACAAACAACCCAAACTCGATAGAGTGGTTTGTGGTCCGGTTCACAATGCCAACATGAGTTTGTGTTTGGTCAAATCCCTATGTGCGGGATAGGATGTCTCGTGAAGAGTTTGACATCTGGCACAAGTACGGACCTATGGCAGTGCAAATGTGCAATACTATTTGCCACGTGTACGTGACTTCATGTACGATTTCGTGACCATTTTCAACGTCTTAGTTTCAAGGTTCTGCTTCCCCTTTGAACTCCTTTGCTACCGGGGACAACTATAATGCAAGATGTTTCCTAACAAAATAAAATGTAATGCTTTTAGATATTAGTGTAAAAAAGGTGCCTACATAGAAAAGGGGGACATGAGAAGAAACAATGGCAAAGATCTGGCAGGTGAGATCATCTCATACCTCTAGCAAAGTCAGGTCATATGTACTCCGATCGCCATAATAACCGCTTGTTTTGTCTTTGAGGACAACATTTAGGTTTTGTTGCCTTGGCCTCCAAATTTCTTGAAGACCGCATCAAATCAAGCCCGCGAGCCTATACATTTGTGGGCTGGGGCGCTGATATGGAGCAGGCACCAAACCCAACCGCTCATGCAGGAGGAAACTTTGATGTCGTTTTTGACCTCCGGCATCGAATCCTACCAATGATGCGGTCATCCGTATGTTTACCTCTTTGACTCCTACCAATAGCACAACCACTTTTGCATTGGGAAGAGCGTTCATTAATAACCAATCACTACTAAGGAAATGCTTATACACAGTAGCATAGTAGTAGCGCTGTAAAATAGGAACCATTGCTGTTATTTAGCAGTAGCGTTTTTCCTGGCAGGCGCTACTAGTAACTCTGTAGTAGTAGCGCTGGGACGCAAAAACACGCTACTGCTATGTAGGACCAGACGAGGCCACCGACGGTCGGTGGAGTTGTAGCGCTGTACAGAAACAAGCACTACTACCAACAGTTTAGTAGTAGCGCTTGATTTTACTACGCCGCTACTTCTAATGGGCCCCACTTAGTAGTAGCGCTTTTCCTGGAGAGCGCTACTACTAAGTCCCATAGCAGCAACGCTTTTTGCTAAGCAGCGCTACTGTAGTTGCAGCTGGTGCCACCTTTCCACCCCCTCCCCTCCTCTCCCCCACTTTGCCCTCTTTCCCCCTCCTTTCCCTTCTCCACTCTCCACCACTACAAGGGAAAACCTTATAAACAGAATCTTAGCACGAGCGCGGCACAAAAAGAGGCGCTACTGCTAATTAGCAGTAGCGAGGTTAAGAAAAGCACGCTACTGATGTAAATTTAGCAGTAGTGCGTGATGTCTAAATCGTGTTGCTACAAAAATCTACCGACAATACCCAACAACCTAAGTTTACCAGCAGCACGGTGTCACGATGCGTGCTATTGCCAATGCAATAGTAGTAGCGCGCGTTATAGTCACGTCGCTGCTGCTAATTTTGAAATTGTCCACACGGTTGGCCCGTTTAGCAGTAGCGCGTGTGACGAAAGGGCGCTGC